TCGGCGACGCGGCCGATGTATTGCCTTCATTTGTCCCCGAGTTTTCCAACCCCCTCGACGCGTATGTGCACACCCGCGAATATTAAACATCCCCCTCCTTCTCCTGCCTCGTGGCGTGAATTAAAGGCATACGAGCGAGCATCGAGTCTCTTTCCCTCTTTGGTGATGGATGCCATGTTTGCCGAGTGGATAATAGCGTAATGGATGGACACGAGACGACAGCAGCCCCGTTGTCGTTGTCGTCGCTTCACTTGCCAGTGCAATTTTCACATTCTTAGCGAGGGTCGCTTGTTTTTCCAGCCGATCATCGCGATTTATTCCGTAGGTGGAATTGCAGCTGGTGATTTTCGAAAGAGTTGCGGCTCTTGTTTTCAAGTCAAAACCGGGAGGAAGATAAATCGTTAGAGGCTATTTTCTTTCTTTTTTTTTTTCGCGAGACTGAATACTCCCCGTAAAAGCCGCTCGTACGGGCACGATATCTGCTCGGAGGGAATCTTAATCCGAAGATAATAAGGCAATTTAAAAATGCTTAATGAAAAATAGCTTGATAAATTTTAAATTAGCATCTCATAAATTTACATCCTTATCTCTCTCTCTCTTTGTATCATTATATATATATATACATAGCTAAAGGTTAAGAGGGAAAGAGAAAATTCATCACCACCCCCGGCATTAATCATTATCAAGCTAGAAAATTAATTTCCAGAGTGACATGAATCTTATCTTGGCGGAAACTCAAATGAATATAAGGTTAATAAAGCGTGTACCGAAAAATCGGGGGGTAATGAGAAATGATCGGTATGAAGTACATATAGGTACGTATCGCTGATACGGTCTCGAAACTATTTCGATAACATCTGGTTTTCAGGAGGTAATCTAATTTTTTTCTATTTCAGTCTCCACTACTTATCATCTTCATCGGTTGCTCCATGAAATTCTACATCGTGATTAATCGTCTGTTGGTTATTATAAATATGCTATGAATGCACTAAAGACTTATTGTCTCTTCTCGTATATATCGTAATCGGGTTACACGACACATGTCGTTTCGATTAGTTTTTAATGTGAAAGCTCATGTCTTAAAAATGTAATAATCTATTCTCATTAGAGGAGATAATGGATGAACAACGAGAGGAAACAAAGAAAATGAGGAGCCGAAAAAAATATAGCTGCAAGCTCCGAGTGGAAGGGTTGGTGGTGGGGAGCCAGTCCTTTGTCTTGAAAAATTTTTAAATCACCGCGCTCTCCTCGGCTTCCCTGCATTTTTCGGTCCGCAAAATGCAATAATCTTTCGCTCGTACTCCAGTCGCTGTAACAAAAATCCACCAAACAGTAGACGCGCGATCTTAGGTTTGCTGTGCTCCTCCTCGGTTTACTTGTTAATGGCTCGTCGTCGCTTGCCAAGCCCCCGTTGAAGATTTACATCCCCGACCACTTTCGCGCCCTTTTCTACTTATCCTCTTACTCGCTTGTTTTCGTTTGTTTTATGGAGAACGCCGCTGCAGCTCGACTTGGACTGCGCACCGTGTAATGACACAATGTAAATTACAGCCTCTCCTCTCGCTTCTTCGACATGTTCTTTGAAGTGAGGGGAAAAGATTTTTTACTCGAGAAAACTCACAATTCCAACATCTGCACTGTACAATGGTTCGGAACATCAACAAGCCATCCCATAGCTCGTGTCCGATCGCAACATTTTTTTCATTCCGATGATGATTCAGGAGGTCGAATTATAAAAATAGAACGAAAATTATTCATCCATTAACCGCGTATCCGGAATAAATTGAAGTACATCGTATCAATGAGCGATAAATTTAGATTACCTCAGCTTATTTCTTTTTAGATATCCAACTCATTAAGTTTTTTTTTTAAACACGACTACTATATGTAAGAGTGACTTTTGTTATCGAAAAATTTTGATTCTCATCATTAAGCACGACGATGCCGTAATAGTCGGAAACACCTGCATTTTCATTTATAAATGTGTTAAATATAAAATGAAAAAATTATTTAATTAAGGTAATAATAAAAATGTTTTGGGAACTAAATAAACCTATTTCTAGTCACATTAAACATTTACGTTATTTATGTACCTACGAAAATCAAGTCCCTAAGGTCGTCAAACTTTAGGAAAGATCGCGTGCCGTATATTATAAGTCAAACAAAAAGAAAGGCGTCACTGAAACACTTTTACCACGATTAATTACAATGTATACTGTACTTTGTATACACGTTGCTGACACGCATAACGATACATGTATACATCTGACTATATATATTTTCCTTAGCTAAGGCACGCCATCTCAACTGCATTATCGATACCTGATGTGAATGAGAGTACGGATTCTTAATGATTTTCAGGTTTTTACTGAGCTGAGGTGCTCGTTTCATATAATAAGGGTATAAAGATATAAACACATATTGTTGAAAAAAAAAATCTTCCAACAGAGTACATTTTGTTCTTAAACATCGAAAATACAATCCATAGATGTCGTTAGGCGATTTCACCTTCCAAGTATGCTTTGTGAAAACCTAGATTGTATACAATGGTCAATTTAACTAGTGTGGAAATTATTACAAATGACGAGAGATATATTTATCACGGCCACTATCTTCCCAGCGTGAAATGATCCGTTTGAATTAATAAACAATTACATTGCTGATTAATTGTTAAAAAAATGGAACCGATAACTTTATCACGAGAACTTTTATGTTAAACGCGAGAAAACTGCCACGAGTTGTCGATCGAGAGAAATACATATATAGATGAGCGTATAATGATATTAATTTGTTTCGTAAATAACCCTCTAGCTGGGAGTTTAATGAGGCCAAATGACGAATAATAATAATAATAATAAAAAATGGAGTGAGTGAGAGAGTCACCTCTGAAAACGAAATCTTGTAAAATGAGGCTCGGTGAGTGAGTGATGCTTTACATAACATTCATTAAGCACTGGAACGACGAGCGTGTACATCGTGTGAGCTAAACTCGATGCAACAGCAGAACGGGTCGCATTAAAATAATAACTCGCGGAACTGAAATAGTTGCGAAACGTATACGCGCGTTAATTAATTTATGAGCGTATTATTTTCGTTAAAATAGAGATGGAGGGGGGGGGGAAATAAAATAAAATGAAATTAACGCGTGTAATCGCGAGTTAGAGTCCGCGTAAATCATACGTATTTTCGTCCGGCACGCGTGTTCCATCAAGGCCAAAAATAGATCATTAGGCGACGATAATTAGTATATATGCGTCAGCGGCAAATGACGTTCCCTCGGTAATTCAAGCGGCTGCTGCTGCCATATACTGCTCTCGTCGTGTCGTCCGCGTCTCTCTCTCTCTCTTATTCTGCACTGCCCCATAGCTGCTATACTGCCGCTATACTTGTACGTGCAACGCGCGTTTCGAGCTCCTCGACTCTTCTCTCTACATATACATATATATGTATACGTTACAACATAATATACACGTACACTCGTGCAATACTCGTCGTCTACCAGCTAGCGTTGAGTCTTATTAAAGCGATTCGAATAATTGTTGTGCGCCTACTGCGCCATGGGCCCCTATTAGCGACAACACTCTCGATTCTCGTCATTTCGGAGGGATTGGCTGAGCTCTACTTGCTCCCTGTCTGAGGAAAAAAAAAAAAAAAAAAAAAAAAAAAAAAAAAAAAAAAAAAAAAAAAAAAA